CGCACTCACCAACACGCTCACCAACACGAACCAGACACATTCACCAACACACCCACCAACACACCCACCAAGACAATCGCTCACACACTTACCTCACGCTCACCTTCACGCTAACCAACGCACTCACACACGCTCACCAACACAAACCAGACACATTCACCAACACACCCACCAACACACTCACCAACACACCCACAAAGACAATCACTCACACACTTACCTCACGCTCATCTTCACGCTAACCAACGCACTCACCAACACGCTCACCAACACGAACCAGACACATTCACCAACACACCCACCAACACATGTACACTCACCAACACACCCACCAAGACAATCGCTCACACACTTACCTCACGCTCACCTTCACGCTAACCAACGCACTCACCAACACGCTCACCAACACGAACCAGACACATTCACCAACACACCCACCAACACACTCACCAAGACAATCGCTCACACACTTACCTCACGCTCACCTACACGCTAACCAACGCACTCACTAACACGCTCACCAACACGAACCAGACACATTCACCAACACACCCACCAACACACCCACCAACACGCTCATCAACACACTCACCAAGACAGTCGCTCACACACTTTCCTACACGCTCACCAAAACTCTCTTACCAACACGTTCACAAACACGCACACCAGCACATACAAAAAAACGGACCCATCATGCTCACCAACACACTCACCAACACTCTTACTAACACACTCACCAACACGGACCTAACTCACTCACCAACAAGGACCTAACTCACTCACCAACACGGACCTTACTCACTCACCAACAAGGACCTAACTCACTCACCAACACGGACCTAACACACTCACCAACACGGACCTAACTCACTCACCAACACGGACCTAACACACTCACCAACACGGACCCATCTCACTCACCAACACGGACCTAACTCACTCACCAACACGGACCTAACACACTCACCAACACGGACCTAACTCACTCACCAACACGGACCTTACTCACTCACCAACACGGACCTAACACACTCACCAACACGGACCTATCTCACTCACCAACACGGACCTAACTCACTCACCAACACGGACCTTACTCACTCACCAACAAGGACCTAACACACTCACCAACACGGACCTAACTCACTCACCAACACGGACCTAACACACTCACCAACACGGACCTATCTCACTCACCAACACGGACCTAACACACTCACCAACACGGACCTAATACACTCACCAACACGGACCTAACACACTCACCAACACGGACCTAACACACTCACCAACACGGACCTAACACACTCACCAACACGGACCTAACACACTCGTCAACACGGACCTAACTCACTCACCAACACGGACCTAACTCACTCACCAACACGGACCTAACACACTCACCAACACGGACCTAACACACTCACCAACACGGACCTAACACACTCACCAACACAGACCTAACTCACTCACCAACACGGACCTAACACACTCACCAACACGGACCTAACTCACTCACCAACACGGACCTAACACACTCACCAACACGGACCTAACACACTCACCAACACGGACCTATCACACTCACCAACACGGACCTATCACACTCACCAACAAGGACCTATCACACTCACCAACACGGACCTAACACACTCACCAACACGGACCTATCACACTCACCAACACGGACCTATCACACTCACCAACACGGACCTATCACACTCACCAACACGGACCTAACACACTCACCAACACGGACCTAACACACTCACCAACACGGACCTAACACACTCACCAACACGGACCTAACACACTTACCAACACGGACCTAACACACTCATCAACACGGACCTAACACACTCACCAACACGGACCTAACACACTCGTCAACACGGACCTAACACACTCACCAACACGGACCTAACACACTCACCAACACTCTTACCAACACACTCACCAGCACGGACCCAGCATACTCACCAACACACTCGCAGACATGGACCCAACACGCCAACAAACTCACAAACACAGGCCTAACACTCTTCATGTGGAATGGGCCGCTTTGGTGTCATAGTGGATAGAGCGTCTGCCTGGAGAGCGGGGTTCGATCTCCGGCCGCGTCAAACCAAAAGACGTTAAAAGACGGCACTTGTTGTTACACTGCCTGATGCACGGCGTTAAAGGGCCGAAACAAGGACTGGTCGTCTCGGAGTCAGTGTACTGTGTCCGAGTTGGGTATCCATGTTCAACTGCGGTATGATATCTCAGTTGGCTAGCACTATACAATCGGCATTAGTCCGGACAAGCACAAGCAGCCACACACACACACATGTGCACATGCATGTCGCGACGTCAAACCTCATTTCACCCACCTCATCTCAGCAAGAATGGGCTGCCAGTCCACAAGTGTCATCCGTTGGTTTTTCGGGCAGATGGTATTCGGCAGCCATTCAGGCCAACGATTGACCATATGGTACTGTAGGCGTTATGACTGCCGTTCTTGAGATTCTGACATTGACGTCACAGGCAAAGATTTCCACGTTAATCTTCCATGCACATGCATGGCCAGCGTATCGCTTTTAATGCCTCGTAAAGTCACAGAATGAAATCTTGAAAAACAATATATGCGTTTGAGTTTTAGGGGATTATGATTATATACCATTTCGTTAATGGGGACATTAAACGTCAAAAGGCCCAAGCTCTATGTCGTTGTTCATGTGGGCAGCATTGGTACCAAGTAAACTCCGCCATTGATTAGAATCGATCAGCTGACTGTTACGCGTTCGCACACGCAATATAGGACTGTGAGGTAAGTTTTGGATCTGCGCATGAATCGACCTTCTTCTGCATAACAGAGTCAACGCAACGATACATGTGTGGGAGATACTAACACCAGCATTCCTTGAATATGACCAAAAAACCTTAAAAGATGGAACTCGTTACCTTGCTTGGCGCTCGGTATCAACGTGATGAAACAAGGACAAGGCGGCTGAGAGTCAGTGCAATGTGTCTGAGTTGGGTATCCGTGTTAAACAGCGGGATGGTATCTCAGTGGGTAAGCACTATCAAACCGAGATAAGTCCGGACGAACACAAACAGCCACTCACATCTTGGCTGACCGTAAAGGGGAAACGGGAGAATTTACTAACGCTTCAATGTTGTTCGTTGAGGCTGATATCGAACTCCTGTTTGAGACCCGTGGACAGAGTCACTTTCCGTGGCTTGCCAGACGAATCCCGGATCTCCCTGTTCACGTTTGTGGGTTTGTCGGCACCATATCCTTGCTCGTTGGTTTCTCAGGGAGGAGGGAGACAGTAAACGTACATTCCCGTTCTCTGGTGAAAACTCGCCTCCTGAGGGAATAATAATAGCAATATGCAGACCAAACTGCTGATCAATTTATTCTTCAAACTGATCTGTTGGAACCATTTGCAATTTGCGGAAAAGGAATTGTCAATAGTAATAATCCATCGATTACTTCCAATATGATATACGTTGTCTTATTTTGTCAAAAGGGGTGGTTGATAGCTTAGTGGTTAAAGCGTTCGCTCGTCACGCCGAAGACGCGGGTTGGATTGTCCACAGGGGTACAATGTGTGAAGCCCGTTTCTGGTGTCCCCCGCTTTCACTTTTTGTGTCAATGAAGATCACCATTTACAACTGGATGAAAATGCATGTACAGAAATGGTTGAGCCATTGGTTCAGTTGCAATGTACCCTACAACGATGTTGGATGATTTTGTGATTTTGTGAGAAAAGGAACACGATATATCTTCAGGAGAATTGCTCCTCGCAACTGTCATATTCGTATTTACGCTTCTCAAAACTATTAATGTGGCAAATGTCAATTCCGAGATAAAGTCACAAAATTCTATAGTAAATTCAAAGTTGGGACCGTGTCCATGATACGACAGAGCGTTATGTATTTTTATCTCGAATTCGAGATAAGCGGTCATATTCATATGTTTATATAAAATGGGGCGGGACCGCAGAATATGTTCGAGATATCGGTACATTCGAGAAAACGAATCTCGACATAATGTAGATATACTATTCTTTATTTATATGTGCAGTAGGATGCAATTTACCCCGAGTGATTTCTCAACCTTATTAGTGTTAATTCATCTAATAAGCATCGAAAATAATTTTGTCTTTGGCCAGAAATGTTTCGGAAAAGAGTGAGTACGGTTTTACGCTACTTTCAGCAATATCACGGGATGGAAAACCAGAAAACATGCTCAACACATCCTACAACGAATAAAATCGAACCCGGACCTCAGGCGTTACGAGCAAACGCTTTAACCGGTAGGCTATCCCACTGCCCTGACTGATATTCATTATTTAATTATATAACATGTCGCTAATTTCAGGTATAGCTGAGATATGGTTGAACAGTGCTCAACTAATTTCAACATTATAGTTATATTAACTGGAGTGAAAACATCACGAGACAATCGACCGCCTCCGTGGTCTAATGGTAGAGCGTCCGCCCGGAGAGCGGAAGGTCCGGGGTTCGATCCCCAGCCGCGTCATACCAAAAGACGTTAAAAGACGGTACTTGTTTTACCCTGTCTGGCGCTCGGCATTAAGGGGCTAAAACAAGGACTGGTCGGCTCGGAGTCAGTATACTGGGTCTGAGTGGGGTGTTCATGGTAAACTGCGGCATGGTATCTCAGTGTGCTAGCACTATAAATCGGCATCAGATCAGTCCGGACTAGTACAAGCAGCCACACACATACACGTGCATGCACGTCTCTATATAAGTGCAATAATGTTGGACGCGACGTTAAACCCCATTTCACCTCACCTCACCTCACGAGACAATCATTGAGGTCACGAGATATTATTCCAGACATCATACGACTTTCGCCGAAGATTTAACATCTTATCGTCTGATATGTTTAATTTTATCTTAACATGTCCCTTCCTTAGAATACCTCTTCTGCTGAGGGTAAGTCGTGTCGTTTGGGTCAGGACGACATCTAGTAAATAGGTCTTTCCCGAGTAGCTACGTCTCTATGCACACAGACTGGGCCTGTCGCCACTGTCGTCAAATCACCTCTTTAGCAGGACGTGTTTGTTGTGAGGAATTAGTATGTCAGCGCAATAAAAATGAATTTCGGGAGCTTTGTAGGAGTTCTGCTGTATCTTATAACAGGTAAGATGCTTCTTCGATCGATGTACGCAATCGGGATCCGATGACATGCATTAACATGGCCACCCAGTCTGACCACCCGATCCCGATAGTTGCCTCTTATGACAAGCACAGACCGATGAAGGTCAGTTGTAACCCGGATCTTCAAGGGGGAATGTTGGATGTAGAAATGAATGTGATATATCCCGTTATCAGAGAATGTAGAGAGCCATGTAGACCAGGCAGTGTCCAATGTAGTTTGCCGTGTATTGTGCCATCTTGAGAACAAGTGGTGATCCATGTAGAATACCATGTAGTGTTCCATGTAGAATACCATGTAGTGTTCCATGTAGTGTTCCATGTATAATATCATGTAGTGTTCCATGTAGAATACCATGTAGTGTTCCATGTAGAATATCATGTAATGTTCCATGTAGTGTTCCATGTAGAATATCATGTAGTGTTCCATGTAGAATACCATGTAGTGTTCCGTGTATAATATCATGCAGTGTTCTGTGTAGTGTTCCAAGTAGAATTCCATGTAGTGTTCCGTGTAGAATATCATGTAGTGTTCCGTGTAGTGTTCCAAGTAGAATTCCATGTAGTGTTCCGTGTAGAATATCATGTTGTGTCCCATGTTGTGTTCCATGAAGTGTTCCATGTTGTATTCCATGTTGTGTTCCATGTAGTGTTCCGTGTAGAACACCGTGTAGTGTTCCATGCAGTGTTCCATGTAGAATACTATGTAGTGTTCCGTGTAGAATATCATGTAGTGTCCCATGTTGTGTTCCATGAAGTGTTCCATGTTGTGTTCCATGTTGTGTTCCATGTAGTGTTCCATGTAGAACACCGTGTAGTGTTCCATGCAGTGTTCCATGTAGAATACTTTGTAGTGTTCTGTGTAGAATATCATGTAGTGTTCCATGTAGTATTCCATGTAGAATACCTTATAGAATATCATGTAGCATTCCATGTAGAATACCATGTAGTGTTCCATGTAGTATTCCATGTAGAATATCATGTAGTATTCCATGTAGAATACCATGTAGTGTTCCATGTAGTAGTATTCCATGTAGAATACCATGTAGTGTTCCGGGTAGAATTCCATGTAATGTTCCGCGGACTGTGACATCTGGAAAGCTCGTAGTGTATCATATAGTGTGTCACCTGGTGTGTTGTGTAGCGTGCCATCTGGAGAGCATTATGTGGCATCGCATCTTACACTCTAACCCGTTGTCTGCCCAATGATCTATCACAATCTGCATGTCAACGTGGTATAATCTGTAACATGTAGTTGCACTCATTCAGCATGCACAACACAGACAAGTCACTGTCCGACGCCCGCAGCAGGAAGCTCCCTGGTGAAGGTGTTCAACAAACGGTGTCTTGAGTTCGTCCTGGGCAAGACAGCAACGTGGACATCTGCAGAGCGAGACTGTATGTACGTATTTCTTTGTTGAAACACTTATTGTACCTTATATTATAACTAAAATAAAAAGCGTTGCAATGTCAGTTCTAAATTTTTGGATTTATTTGTTAACGAATACTGAGGGACAGTAAAATCATTTACCTCCTTATCAGCGGTAGAAACTAACAAATTTAGTCCACGAGTCTTTTTCATGATGAAATATAGCAAAGCCCTTAGAAATGGCTAATTTCTACTTGCCCTTATGATGTAGTGGGCTACATGACTAGTGCAAATTTCTAACGTTGCTTATCATGACTGAGTCTGCAAAATGTCAAGTTCGCTGACAATGTCCACTGATATTCTACTTCGGTGTCCAGGAAGCTGTACTTGTTATATTCATACGTATATATAAGACTAACGAAAGTTAACAGTTAACAAATCAACAGTTAAAGCCCCATTAAAAAAGGGCGCCCGTGAGCGTGTTTAGGCGGCAGCCTGTTTACTGTATGGCCACAAGTATCCTCATTTCCCACATTCTCAGCTGAGTCTTCTTTGTGGTGAAGGACAGAGGCGAGGTTTGACGATTGACGTGGTGGTATACAACATTCCCTTCTCTCCACAGACAAAGAGGAGGCCACCTGGTGGAAGTGGCGAGTGACTCCATGCAGCAGTACCTGGAGTCGGTGTTGCAGACAAGATACGTGGGGACAGGAGTGTGGATCGGCCTGACCGCACCCACCAACACGTGGATCTGGACAAGTGGTAGGGTGGGGCAGGGTGGATCTGGACAAGTGGTAGGGTGGGGCAGGGTGGATCTGGACAAGAGGTAGGATGGGACAGGGTGGACCTGGACAAGTGGTAGGGTTGGGCAGGGTGGATCTGGACAAGTGTTAGGGTGGGCCAGGGTGGATCTGGACAAGAGGTAGGGTGGGGAAGGGTGGATCGTGACAAGTGTTAGGGTGGGGCAGGGTGGATCTGGACAAGTGGTAGGGTGGGGCAGGGTGGACCTAGACAAGTGGTAGGGTGGGGCAGGGTGGATCTGGACAAGTGTAGGGTGGGCCAGGGTTGATTTGGACAAGGGGGAAGGTGGGGCAGGGTGGATTTGGACAAGGGGGTGGGTGGGGCAGGGTGGATCTGGACAAGTGGTAGGGTGGGCGAGGGTGGATCTGGACAAGTGGTAGGGTGGGGCAGGGTGGATCTGGACAAGTGGTTCACTGGGTAGGGTGGATCTGGACAAATGGTTAGCTGTGACAGGGTGGATCAGGACAAGTGGTTAGCTGGGCAGGGTGGAACTGGACAAGTGGTTAGCTGGGGCAGGGTGGATCTGGACAAGTGGTTAGCTGGGCAGGGTGGATCTGGACAAGTGGATAGCTTGGGCAGGGTGGATCTGGACAAGTGGTTAGCTGGGGCAGGGGGGATCTGGACAAGTGGTTAGCTGGGGCAGGGTGGATCTGGACAAGTGGTTAGTTGGGCAGGGTGGATCTGGACAAGTGGTTAGCTGGGGCAGGGGGGATCTGGACAAGTGGTTAGCCTGGGCAGGGTGGATCTGGACAAGTGGTTAGCTGGGCAGGGTGGATCTGGACAAGTGGTTAGCTGGGGCAGGGGGTATCTGGACAAGTGTTTAGCTGGGGCAGGGTGGATCTGGACAAGTGGTTAGCTGGGGCAGGGGGGATCTGGACAAGTGGTTAGCTGGGGCAGGGTGGATCTGGACAAGTGGTTAGTTGGGCAGGGTGGATCTGGACAAGTGGTTAGCTGGGCAGGGTGGATGTGGACAAGAGGTTAGCTGGGCAGGGTGAATCTGGACAAGTGTTTAGCTTGGGCAGGGTGGATCTGGACAAGTGGTTAGCTGGGCAGGGTGGATCTGGACAAGTGGTAAGCTGGGGCACGGTGGATCTTGACATGTGGTAGGTTATGGCAGGGGTAATTCCAGACACTTTGAGGGCTTGGGTAATTGAAGAGTGGTCATCTTCCCCATGCAAGAGCCACTAGCCCACTTTCCTCTGCTGAATATGATTTGACTATCGCAAGGTCGACCTGACGTAACTGTTCACGAATTGGGGCGCGTTAGACGACTGACCCGTGACCCAAAAATTCATATATTTGTTATCAACTAATTTATTCCCTGTAGGCTCTGTCGACCTGTACAGGAACTGGGCCTCGGGTTCTCCATCCAGCAATACATTTGACGGTCGTAAACATTGTGTGTACATGGCGACGGGGACGTGGACGTGGCATAACGCTGCATGCTCCTCATACGGCTTCCTCATCCCAAGATACGTCAGACTCAACTACATATGTGAATTTCGTAAGTACATTGTGTTGTTGTCGTAGTGCTATTCGTAGCCGAAGTAGAGGGAGAAAGAGAGAGCGAGAGAGGTTATGCTATTGAAGCGTCCTAATTTGTGTGTGTGTGTGTGTGTGTGTGTGTGTGTGTGTGTGTGTGTGTGTGTGTGTGTGTGTGTTTTGCTGTTTTTACTAGTCCGGACTGATGCCAATTTATAGTGTCAATCTTATTGCATACCAATATCTTTTAAATGTATGGTAAAGACACGTCTTTTTATTGGAGTATATATCAATTGAGGACAAAACAGAGTTATCGCCCTTCTACCACCAAGCCGCGTCTTGTCGTTCCTCGGAAGTGTGGCTGTACAGTTGGCAATAATGATGACAGTAACAATGCGCAAGCAAGTGATCCATATATATAACATCCTGTCTGCACGAGTAGCAGGTGCACTCAGGGAACACTCGGGGCAGTTAATAATGTACTAAACGCCAAGATAATGTGGATTAATGTTAGACTTGAATAGCGTCCATTTGATCATGAGAAAATGTCAACACAGAGGACCAAAACCAACCAATAAGACGCAACCAAAACGATCAACACATTCATTTCATACATTCGGAACACACCACGGACGAGGAAAACAATATACATCCGATTTTGTACTCTAACAAGTTTTGTTTACATTTAATTCATGTCAGAATCAGAGACGAATTTTAGTATTGGATTATGTATTGTATATGGAATCGGATGGTCGGATAATCGAGGCTGGTTATTTTCTGGCGTTTGCATTTCATATTATATTATGTAACTAGTTGTCTAGGCTTATTCAGGTGCACGGATGGCCCAGTCGCCTGAGGCACCTCGATTCGCTGTGCAGAGTTGCGTCCCTTGGGCGCGCCAGAAAACTATGATCGTGAGTTCGTATTCCGGTCCGCCCTTATTATGTTTCTAGGTTTGTCAGCACCATACCCGTGCTCGTGGGTTTCACCAAAGTGGTAAACGTCTGATATCTGCATCACTTCGGGGATTTCCTCACACTTTAGGCTGACAAGCCGTGATATAAGTGGAAAAGTGTTAAAAGCGGTGTTGAACCAAACTCAGTCTGTCTAGGGTTATGCATATTTCCAACCCATTGTATATATTGTTGCTAGTGTTCTAGGCTTAAGAATATATATGGTTCTGGGACTATGAATGTTGTCAAGTCTTTTTTTACAATCTATTTCTAGAGAGCCTGTCTTCGACAACGACCGAACTCACAACTCGACCCCAATCCACCACGTTAGGTATGTCATCTTCAACAAGGACGTCGACGCCCCTGGTAATCTAGTAAACTATCCCCATGTCCGGCTTGGATCCATGGTGGCTTAGAACCAACTCAGATCAGTCAACTTCATGGGTCATATTCTACTCCGACCTCTAACTTGAAGGGGGGCACGGGTGGCCCAGTCGTCTAAAGCGCCGCGATTCGCTGTGCAGAGTTGCGTCCCTTGGACACGCCAGAAACCTATGATTGTGGGTTCGAATCCCGGTTCGCCCCGATTATGTTTCTAGGTTTGTCAGCACCATACCCGTGCTCGTGGGTTTCACCTAAGTGGTAAACGTCTGAGACCTGCATCACTTCGGGCTTTCCTCCCACATTAAGCTGACACGCCGTGATATAACTGGAATACTGTTAAAAGCGGCGTTAAACCCAACTCACTCACTCACTCTAACTTGAAACGTAGGCGCCATCAGCAACATCGTGTTGATCTCTCCATCTCAATGTTGCAGTTACCACCTGCCCCTACACCATCACCAGTCCCGCACACGACACATTCAGCTTCCGTTCCCATACCTATCAGATCTCGACGCAAATAGCGCATGCCGTTGACGCTCAGAAAGCATGTGGTACAAGGGGAGGTAACTTGGTGGCCATACCCGACTGGACCACATTGGTGTGTGTGCACGAAGGACTGGTCAAGAACCTTAAGTTTAATGGAGCGGAAGTGTGGATCGGTCTGTCCGACGCGGAGAGGGAGGGGCAATGGAAATGGGACAATGGTGAGACCATCCTCTTGATTCCAGGGTGTACTTCTTCCCACATTTATCAGTGACGGTTACACGGGACAATGGGGTAGCCTTGTTGTTAAAGTGTTCGATCTTTCTGATGTCCCCTGCCGTGAATATTGCTACCAGCGGCATAAATTCATATTCAATCACCGCTACCAGAAGGATAGTTACTCTGGATAGTTACTCTGGATAGTTACTCTGGATAGTCACTTCCGGCTTGTCAAACGGACAAATCGCACGTTGCGTAGTTTGATTCAAGGAAATGTAATTATTTGCCATATTGTACCTTACATTGTGAGATGAATATATTGAGAACATATTTAAAACGGAGGGAATAAACCTCAGCTTCCGAAATAAATGAATACTAGTTTAAGTGTTACGTTAAAATCACCATGGAGCTGGTCAGTATTGAAGGAGATATGTGGAACAGTTACATGATACAGTCCATACGTCACTCATGGTCGTTGTCTGACGTATTAATGCGCCACTCCGATTATAAGAATGGAAAATGTGCATCTTTTCGATGCTAAAATGGTTATATTTCAGCGGGTGTTTGAAACAGATTTACTGCACTCCTGCCTGTCAAATAATTTTGTCTTACAACCACATGTATTTGATTCAAGACGCTTCTAAGGAGCTCGTTAGATGCGTTTAGAAACAACGCATTGAAAGATGAATGGTATTGACAGACACGCTTGTAGTTACCGTTGTTCTATTTTAGTCCGTTTTATCACGTTCCAGATCATACAACCATTATATATATATATATATATTATATATATATAAGCCTTTATATATATATATATATATATATATATATATTCAAATACTTCCTGTTTCCTGGTCAATACGATCGTGTTTATAAATATTCCGCAGAACTTCTGCAAACAGTGAGAGAATGAATGAGTTGCTTTTAGCTTTATTCCAGCCATATTACGACCGCGGACGCGTAAAAAGAGCGTTACGCATAGTACTCACATAAGGAACCGAGCGGTATGACGATCAAGGACTTTAACCACTGGGCTACCCTACCGTGAATGTTGATCAGTGTGATATTGTGCCTTGTAAATTGGCTGTGTAAGTTCATAAATGTGTGGTTGGGTGATTGCATGGGGTCAGGAGGGTTTGTTGTTTAACGCAGCACTCAGCAATCTTCAAGCTATATGACAGCGGTCTGTAAATAATCGAGTCTAGACCAGACAAATATTACCAGACAGTTATTGATATCATGAGCATCGATCTACGCAATTGATACGATGATATTAATCCACTATCCACCAAGTCAGCGAGCCTGACCACCCGATCCCGTTAGTCGCTTCTTACAAGCTGAAGAGGGTTGCTGAAGACATGTTCTAAACCCGGATCTTTCCTGGATCATTTACGAGGGTGGATGGGTGGATAAGTATGTGAGTGTGTGAGTATGTTTAGGCTTAACAGTAGAGTGATCATGAGTGGAATAGGGTAGGTGGGGATGTGAGAGGATGGGTTAGGAGGGGGACAGGGAGCGGGTACGTGTACAGTCTCCCAGACAATTTATATTGAGAACGTGTTGTTTAGAAGCTATTCTGCCATTTTAGTGTATGATTACAGGAGCAATGTACTCGTACCATCATTGGGCGAACGGAGAGCCCGGGTCGCTGCTAGGGACGAACGAGGACTGTGTCCTCATGGAGACATACTCAGGCTTGTGGAAAGACACCAGTTGCAATGGGGGACTCCTGTTTGCCACCGGCCGTTTTCACTACTTGTGTCAGTACGGTAAGTGTCTGATGGGACCGCTTCCCCTTCGTGTGTCGGTACAGTAAGTGTCTGATAGGGCCGCTTCCCCTTCCTGTGTCAGTACAGTAAGTGTCTGAAAGAACCGCTTCCCCAATGTGTGTCAGAACAGTAAGTGTCTGATGGAACCGCCTCCCAAATGTGTGTCAGAACAGTAAGTGTATGATAGGGCCGCTTCCCGTTCCTGTGTCAGTACAGTAAGTGTCTGAAAGAACCGCTTCCCCAATGTGTGTCAGAACAGTAAGTGTCTGATGGAACCGCCTCCCAAATGTGTGTCAGAACAGTAAGTGTATGATAGGGCCGCTTCCCGTTCCTGTGTCAGTACGGTAAGTGTCTGAAAGAACCGCTTCCCCAATGTGTGTCAGAACAGTAAGTGTCTGATAGAACCGCTTCCCGTTCCTGTGTCAGTACAGTAAGTGCCTGAAAGAACCGCTTCCCCAATGTGTGTCAGAACAGTAAGTGTCTGATAGAGCTGCTTCCCCTTCCTGTGTCAGTACAGTAACTGCAACTGTAGTCTGATAGAGCCGCTTTCCCTTCCTGTGTCAGTACAGTGTCTGCTAGAGCCGCTTCCCCTTCCTGTGTCAGTACAGTAACTGCAACTGTAGTCTGATAGAGCCGCTTTCCCTTCCTGTGTCAGTACAGTGTCTGATAGAGCTGCTTCCCATATGTGTGTCAGTACAGTAACTGCAACTGTAGTCTGATACAGCCGCTTCCCCTTCCATTGTCAGTACAGTGTCTGATAGAGCTGCTTCCCCTTCCTTTGTCAGTACAGTGTCTGATACAGCCGCTTCCCCTTCCTGTGTCAGTACAGTGTCTGATAGAGCCGCTTCCCCTATGTGTGTCAGTACAGTAACTGCAACTGTAGTCTGATAGAGCTGCTTCCCCTTCCTGTGTCAGTACAGTAACTGCAACTGTAGTCTGATACAGCCGCTTTCCCTTCCATTGTCAGTACAGTGTCTGATAGAGCCGCTTCCCCCTTCCTGTGTCAGTACAGTGTCTGATAGAGCTGCTTCCCCTTCCTGTGTCAGTACAGTAACTGCAACTGTAGTCTGATAGAGCCGCTTTCCCTTCCTGTGTCAGTACAGTGTCTGATAGAGCCGCTTCCCTTTCCTGTGTCAGTACAGTAACTGCAACTGTAGTCTGATAGAGCCGCTTTCCCTTCCTGTGTCAGTACAGTGTCTGATAGAGCTGCTTCCCATATGTGTGTCAGTACAGTAACTGCAACTGTAGTCTGATACAGCCGCTTCCCCTTCCATTGTCAGTACAGTGTCTGATAGAGCTGCTTCCCCTTCCTGTGTCAGTACAGTGTCTGATAGAGCTGCTTCCCCTTCCTGTCTCAGTACAGTGTCTGATAGAGCTGCTTCCCCTTCCTGTGTCAGTACAGTAACTGCAACTGTAGTCTGATAGAGCCGCTTCCCCTTCCTGTGTCGGTACAGTGTCTGATACAGCTGCTTCCCCTTCCTGTGTCAGTACAGTGTCTGATACAGCCGCTTCCCCTTCCTGTGTCAGTACAGTGTCTGATAGAGCTGCTTCCCCAATGTGTGTCAGTACAGTAACTGCAACTGTAGTCTGATAGAGCTGCTTCCCCTTCCTGTGTCAGTACAGTGTCTGATAGAGCTGCTTCCCCCATGTGTGTCAGTACAGTAACTGCAACTGTAGTCTGATAGAGCTGCTTCCCCTTCCTGTGTCAGTACAGTGTCTGATAGAGCTGCTTCCCCCATGTGTGTCAGTACAGTAACTGCAACTGTAGTCTGATAGAGCCGCTTCCCCTTCCTGTGTCAGTACAGTGTCTGATAGAGCTGCTTCCCCCATGTGTGTCAGTACAGTAACTGCAACTGTAGTCTGATAGAGCTGCTTCACCTACCTGTGTCAGTACAGCGTCTGACAGAGCCGCTTCCCCTCATGTTTGTCAGTACAGTAACTGCAACTGTAGTCTGATAGAGCCGCTTCCCCTTCCATTGTCAGTACAGTGTCTGATAGAGCTGCTTCCCCTTCCTGTGTCAGTACAGTGTCTGATAGAGCCGCTTCCCCTATGTGTGTCAGTACAGTAACTGCAACTGTAGTCTGATAGAGCCGCTTCCCCTTCCATTGTCAGTACAGTGTCTGATAGAGCTGCTTCCCCTTCCTGTGTCAGTACAGTGTCTGATAGAGCTGCTTCCCCTTCCTGTGTCAGTACAGTGTCTGATAGAGCTGCTTCCCCTTCCTGTGTCAGTACAGTGTCTGATAGAGCTGCTTCCCCTTCCTGTCTCAGTACAGTGTCTGATAGAGCTGCTTCCCCTTCCTGTGTCAGTACAGTAACTGCAACTGTAGTCTGATAGAGCCGCTTCCCCTTCCTGTGTCGGTACAGTGTCTGATACAGCTGCTTCCCCTTCCTGTGTCAGTACAGTGTCTGATACAGCCGCTTCCCCTTCCTGTGTCAGTACAGTGTCTGATAGAGCTGCTTCCCCAATGTGTGTCAGTACAGTAACTGCAACTGTAGTCTGATAGAGCTGCTTCCCCTTCCTGTGTCAGTACAGTGTCTGATAGAGCTGCTTCCCCCATGTGTGTCAGTACAGTAACTGCAACTGTAGTCTGATAGAGCTGCTTCCCCTTCCTGTGTCAGTACAGTGTCTGATAGAGCTGCTTCCCCCATGTGTGTCAGTACAGTAACTGCAACTGTAGTCTGATAGAGCCGCTTCCCCTTCCTGTGTCAGTACAGTGTCTGATAGAGCTGCTTCCCCCATGTGTGTCAGTACAGTAACTGCAACTGTAGTCTGATAGAGCTGCTTCACCTACCTGTGTCAGTACAGCGTCTGACAGAGCCGCTTCCCCTCATGTTTGTCAGTACAGTAACTGCAACTGTAGTCTGATAGAGCCGCTTCCCCTTCCATTGTCAGTACAGTGTCTGATAGAGCTGCTTCCCCTTCCTGTGTCAGTACAGTGTCTGATAGAGCTGCTTCCCCTTCCTGTGTCAGTACAGTGTCTGATAGAGCTGCTTCCCCTTCCTGTCTCAGTACAGTGTCTGATAGAGCTGCTTCCCCTTCCTGTGTCAGTACAGTAACTGCAACTGTAGTCTGATAGAGCCGCTTCCCCTTCCTGTGTCAGTACAGTGTCTGATACAGCCGCTTCCCCTTCCTGTGTCAGTACAGTGTCTGATAGAGCTGCTTCCCCAATGTGTGTCAGTACAGTAACTGCAACTGTAGTCTGATAGAGCTGCTTCCCCTTCCTGTGTCAGTACAGTGTCTGATAGAGCTGCTTCCCCCATGTGTGTCAGTACAGTAACTGCAACTGTAGTCTGATAGAGCTGCTTCCCCTTCCTGTGTCAGTACAGTGTCTGATAGAGCTGCTTCCCCCATGTGTGTCAGTACAGTAACTGCAACTGTAGTCTGATAGAGCCGCTTCCCCTTCCTGTGTCAGTACAGTGTCTGATAGAGCTGCTTCCCCCATGTGTGTCAGTACAGTAACTGCAACTGTAGTCTGATAGAGCTGCTTCACCTACCTGTGTCAGTACAGCGTCTGACAGAGCCGCTTCCCCTCATGTTTGTCAGTACAGTAACTGCAACTGTAGTCTGATAGAGCCGCTTCCCCTTCCTGTGTCAGTACAGTGTCTGATAGAGCTGCTTCCCCTCATGTGTGTCAGTACAGTAACTGCAACTGTAGTCTGATAGAACCGCATCCCTAAGATGTAAATGGAGTAATTGTTTATTATTAAGATACGAAATCTGTAAGGCCTCTTCAGTATAGAGGAAAGTTCTTCCGTCCGTCTTCCGTCAGTAGTCCTGGAAACATTAATTGTGTCTTTAATTTCCTCCTGAATTCTACACCAAGACAGGGGTACCTTCAGCTCATAAAGCGTGTACAATGTACGCCAAATCACCCCTGTATCAAAGTTGTCAATGTTTTGAGACGAGCTTTACCTTCTTTGTTATACATATCATACCATAGACTGTTTGGTTTGAAAGCCCAAGAGCATATATCAATAAATTTTCCTCTGTCTCTAAAGAACTTGTATACATTTCCATACTGCAGACTCCATGTCGTGTACAATGTACATAGTGGACACGGGTGGCCCAGTCGTCTAAGGCGCCGCGATTCGCTGTGCTAAGTTGCGTCCCTTTGGCACACCAGAAACCTATGATTGTGGGTTCGAATCCCGGTTCGCCCCGATTATGTTTCTAGGTTTGTCAGCACCATACCCGTGCTCGTGGGTTTCACTGCAGTGGTAAACGTCTAAGACCTGCATCACTTCGGGCTTTTCTCCTACATTAAGCTGACACGCCGTCGTATAACTGAATACTGTTAAAAGCGTCGTTAAACCCAACTCAGTGTACATGCATCATGAGACACTGTTGACAAAACAAATTCAGCGTCGTTTTGATATTTTCTAACATTCTCCAATTGACTTGTTTTTGGTGGTTTAGATGTTTTATGAAGACAGCATTATAATTTCTTTTTTATTACGGATTCGTGTGCGCTTATGAGACTTCCCTCTTTGGACTTATAATCCATCTGAATTTGCTGCTTTCGTTCGAAGTTTTCGCCTGTCGATAGGACTCCTTGGGGCTGAAATTGTTCAAACCACAGGTTTGTAGATCGGTACCTGTGAAACATTCTTTCTTTCTTGAACGGACTAAAGGCATTTTTCTAGCATTTCGGACACGCCGCGATATAACTGGAATATTGTTAGAAGCGGCGTTAAACCCAAATCACTCACTCACGCAAACACAGTATACTGACACTCTGTGAATGAGTGAAAGAGAGAGAGAGTGTGTGTGTGTGTGAGAGAGAGAGAGAGAGAGAGAGAGTGCGTGCGTGCATGCGTGCGTGTGTGCGATGTTTGTGTGAGAGAGAGAGAGAGTGTGTGTGTGTGCGTGCGGTGCGGTGCGGTGCGTGCGTGCGTGTGTGCGGTGTGTGTGTGACACCGAGTCGAACTGTCCTTGTTTTATCCCCTTAATACTGAGCATGGTAACAACATTCACCACATCACATCGCTACCATGGACATGTATTGACAATAGGAAGGATACGGGAACTCGTATGTCGATCGTGTGACGTTTAATAAAAGACTGATAATTTCTATTTGATCTGTTTTAGATCACGTTACGTCGTCTACTATAAGAACCACCAAGTCGACGACACCATCGACTAATGCGTCTACCAGTGCTTCAACTACTGCTATCACTACAACTACAACCACTGCAACGACAACCCCAACGCCTACACCTTCAGGTTGGCTAGTACAGTAACTCTCATCCTGCAGTTTAAGAAAAAACCTTCATTAACCGTACACTGTACAAAAAAGAGTCGGTTTGTGCTTTTTTTAATCTGCCGTAAATACGGTAAGCGTAAAAAAAATTGGAGTTAAATAATAAGTCGATCCTTATGCAGCACAGGTATTTCCGTGTCTCAATCAGTGTTGGTATATTCAACTCACAGTTCGAATACAGCTGATGGGCCCTACCCCTCCCCTTGAACTGTCTGACTACAGCTGATGGCCCCTACCCCTCCCCTTGAACTGTCTGACTACAGCTGATGGGCCCTACCCCTCCCCTTGAACTGTCTGACTACAGCTGTGGGCCCTACCCCTCCCCTTGAACTGTCTGACTACAGCTGATGGGCCCTATCCCTCCCCTTGAACTGTCTGACTACAACTGTGGGACCTACTCCTACCCTTGAACTGTCTGACTACAGCTGTGGGCCCTACCCCTCCCCTTGAACTGTCTGACTACAGCTGATGGGCCCTATCCCTCCCCTTGAACTGTCTGACTACAACTGTGGGACCTACCCCTCCCCTTGAACTGTCTGACTACAGCTGATGGGCCCTATCCCTCCCCTTGAACTGTCTGACTACAACTGTGGGACCTACTCCTCCCCTTGAACTGTCTGACTACAGCTGTGGGCCCTACCCCTCCCCTTGAACTGTCTGACTACATCTGTGGATCCTACTCTTAACCTTAAACTGTCTGACTACAGCTGATGGGCTATACCCCTCCCCTTGAACTGTCGGACTACAGCTGTGGGACCTACTCCTCCCCTTGAACTGTCTGACTACAACTGTGGGACCTACTCCTCCCCTTGAACTGTCTGACTACAGCTGTGGGCCCTACCCCTCCCCTTGAACTGTCTGACTACGGCTGATGGGCCCTATCCCTCCCCTTGAACTGTCTGACTACAACTGTGGGACCTACCCCTCCCCTTGAACTGTCTGACTACAGCTGATGGGCCCTACCCCTCCCCTTGAACTGTCTGACTACAGCTGTGGGCCCTATCCCACCCCTTGAACTATCTGACTACAGCTGTGGATCCTACTCTTAACCTTGAACTGTCTGACTACAGCTGATGGGCCCTACCCCTCCCCTTGAACTGTCTGACTACAGCTGTGGGACCTACTCCTCCCCTTGAGCTGTCTGACTACAACTGTGGGCCTTACCCCTCCCCTTGAACTGTCTGACTACATCTGTGGATCCTACTCTAAACCTTGAACTGTCTGACTACAGCTGTGGGCCCTATCCCTCCCCTTGAACTGTCTGACTACAGCTGTGGATCCTACTCTTAACCTTGAACTGTCTGACTACAGCTGATGGGCCCTACCCTTCCCCTTGAACTGTCTGACTACAGCTGTGGATCCTACTCTTAACCTTGAACTGTCTGACTACAGCTGTGGGCCGTACCCCTCCCCTTGAACTGTCTGACTACATCTGTGGATCCTACTCTAAACCTTGAACTGTCTGACTACAGCTGTGGGCCCTATCCCTCCCCTTGAACTGTCTGACTACAGCTGTGGATCCTACTCTTAACCTTGAACTGTCTGACTACAGCTGATGGGCCCTACCCCTCCCCTTGAACTGTCTGACTACAGCTGTGGGCCCTACCCCTCCCCTTGAACTGTCTGACTACATCTGTGGATCCTACTCTTAACCTTGAACTGTCTGACTACAGCTGTGGGCCCTATCCCTCCCCTTGAACTGTCTGACTACAGCTGTGGATCCTACTCTTAACCTTGAACTGTCTGACTACAGCTGATGGGCCCTACCCCTCCCCTTGAACTGTCTGACTACAGATGTGGGACCGACTCCTCCCCTTGAACTGTCTGACTACAGCTGTGGACCCTACCCCTCCCCTTGAACTGTCTGACTACATCTGTGGATCCTACTCTAAACCTTGAACTGTCTGACTACAGCTGTGGGCCCTATCCCTCCCCTTGAACTGTCTGACTACAGCTGTGGATCCTACTCTTAACCTTGAACTGTCTGACTACAGCTGATGGGCCCTACCCCTCCCCTTGAACTGTCTGACTACAGCTGTGGATCCTACTCTTAACCTTGAACTGTCTGACTACAGCTGTGGGCCCTACCCCTCCCCTTGAACTGTCTGACTACATCTGTGGATCCTACTCTAAACCTTGAACTGTCTGACTACAGCTGTGGGCCCTATCCCTCCCCTTGAACTGTCTGACTACAGCTGTGGGCCCTACCCCTCCCCTTGAACTGTCTGACTACATCTGTGGATCCTACTCTTAACCTTGAACTGTCTGACTACAGCTGTGGGCCCTATCCCTCCCCTTGAACTGTCTGACTACAGCTGTGGATCCTACTCTTAACCTTGAACTGTCTGACTACAGATGTGGGACCGACTCCTCCCCTTGAACTGTCTGACTACAGCTGTGGACCCTACCCCTCCCCTTGAACTGTCTGACTACAGCTGTGGACCCTACCCCTCCACTTGAACTGTCTGACTACAGCTGATGGGCCCTACCCCTCCCCTTGAACTGTCTGACTACAGGTGTGGGACCTACTCCTCCCCTTGAACTGTCTGACTACAGCTGATGGGCCCTACCCCTCCCCTTGAACTGTCTGACTACAGCTGATGGGCCCTACTCCTCCCCTTGAGCTGTCTGACTACAACTGTGGGCCCTACCCCTCCCCTTGAACTGTCTGACTACATCTGTGGATCCTACTCTAAACCTTGAACTGTCTGACTACAGCTGTGGGCCCTATCCCTCCCCTTGAACTGTCTGACTACAGCTGTGGATCCTACTCTTAACCTTGAACTGTCTGACTACAGCTGATGGGCCCTACCCCTCCCCTTGAACTGTCTGACTACAGCTGTGGATCCTACTCTTAACCTTGAACTGTCTGACTACAGCTGTGGGCCCTACCCCTCCCCTTGAACTGTCTGACTACATCTGTGGATCCTACTCTAAACCTTGAACTGTCTGACTACAGCTGTGGGCCCTATCCCTCCCCTTGAACTGTCTGACTACAGCTGTGGATCCTACTCTTAACCTTGAACTGTCTGACTAAAGCTGATGGGCCGTACCCCTCCCCTTGAACTGTCTGACTACAGCTGTGGGCCCTACCCCTCCCCTTGAACTGTCTGACTACATCTGTGGATCCTACTCTTAACCTTGAACTGTCTGACTACAGCTGTGGGCCCTATCCCACCCCTTGAACTGTCTGACTACAGCTGTGGATCCTACTCTTAACCTTGAACTGTCTGACTACAGCTGTGGGCCCTACCCCTCCCCTTGAACTGTCTGACTACAGCTGATGGGCCCTACCCCTCCACTTGAACTGTCTGACTACAGCTGTGTGCCCTACCCCTCCCCTTGAACTGTCTGACTACAGCTGTGGACCCTACTCCTCCCCTTGAACTGTCTGACAATTTGACATTTATTGAAAAAATATAGAAGGAATGTATGTATCGCAGCTGAGTGTGAAATATATGTGATGTGCGTAAAAAAGCTTCTCAAAACTGACATTCGCGAAACGTGACTTTGTACACACAAACGAATTTGGCAGAAAGTTCTGTCCGACGTCTTTACGTGCATAACAACGGCATATAAACCCACCGGAAATGGACGCAAAGAGCTTATATGGTAAGTATAGATATTTACAAACCTGTTGACATTTTAATGAAAGTCTGAAATTCCATCATTGGTTTACAAATCTGAAGGTGTGAATAGTAAATAATAACCTATCGGCAAGATGGCGGAAAATCACCTACAGTGTAACTTCCCTCTTACATTCTTACTGTACCAGTTACATGATAGTTGAAATGAAATGGAAATTCAAATTGACAAATGAGAAACTATTCAAATTGGGGTAAGCGTATACGGTGTCACGGCATGCAGTCATCACTTGGTTCGAAACAACGATCACTCGATTTCGAGTTCAACTCTAATCACAGTGGAGAGCCATGACTGGCGGCAGCGATGTAGTATAGAGAGCTCCGCAAACGGGCAATCGCTGTGAGGAGTTTGTGGAAACAGCAAGCTCCACGCCGCGAAATCCCGTTCGCAGAGCTCTCTATGCAAGGAGTGTGACGAAGGTTTCACACGCTGGGAAGGAGCTTGTGGCACCAGACGACACAGTAAACTTCCACAATATATCATGGACGTTTCTAAACAAAAGAAAACTATCAGGGTAAATGCCACTGGTGACATAACCCGGCAAGAAGAAGTAAGAAAAAAATGGACAGACATGAAGGCATGTTCCATGAAGGCAGAGTCAGCCAGGTGGTTGAATGTTAGGAAAACTGGCAAATAATCTAACCGAAGGTAAACAAGAGAAATAGATTCATGTAGACTACCGACAAAGTGTTTTAACAGGTAACTGACAAGGTAATATTGAAATGAGTCTTGAAACCTAATGAATTTGTGCAACAATAGACATAATTCACGAAAAGATAATTTGTATTACCGTATTCGACATAATAAGCACCGAGGGTGTTCTCAAAATTAGAAGTATGGGGCTCTTATTAGAATATTATTTTGGTGAAAAACAACAGAGTTGAAAGATCGTAAATTTCGTGGTTTATGCCTACAGCCTGAAATGTTTATATACGACAGATATATTTTTCCAGACTTTAATTTCCCATAATTAAGATTGCAAATAGCACACACGTTATACACGAATAAATAAGTAGTGTGTACATTGATCAATCGGAAGGGGTGCTAATTTGGATTGTTCACTAGCCAATAAATTAGCAAATATCTCCGTGGGCGCTTATTAGAGAGGGGCGCTTATTACGTCGAATACGGTATACATGTTAAAAATATATAGCAACCAATTCCTTCTTTAAATATATTCCACAATTAAATATTTCCTGTGCCGATGAGGGGATCTCTGGAGGCATGGAAACACATGGTAAAGATATGACACTGCCTTCTTGTGATTCACGTTTTAAAAATATGTAATTATACCCCTGTTCACGAAGTAAATCGGGGGTTTATAGCGTTCCGTTCGTCTGTCCTGCCGTCCGTCCTTCCGTCCGAGCTTTTGTACGGCCTATAACTTTTTAACCATGCACCCTAGCTTCACCAAACTTGCTCAGACATTTACCACAATGAGTACTTGCGCCTTTTGCTAGTTTGAAGATCCTGAATTTTTTAATTTTTGCCGTTTCCATGGAAACATTAGAAACTTAACCTTTTAGGGTGGGTGTTTTGTACGGCCTATATCTTTTTAACTATGCACCCTAGCTTCACCAAACTTGCTACACACATTTATCACAATGAGTACTTGTGCCCTTTGCTAGTTTGAAGATTCTGAATTTTTTTTATTTTTGCCGTTTCCATGGAAACATGGTGAAACGTACATTTTGGGTAGAGTTTTTGTACGATCCATGTTTACAATATTATGTATCCTAGCTTCAGCAAACTTTCTACATTAACCACTATGATTGTTTTGTTATCTTGTATAAGATTCTGAAAGTTTTCTCTTTTGCTGTTTTCATGGAAACATGATGGAATTTAGAAATTTTGTGGCTGGTTTTGTATAGCTAATATATTTTCCAAAATTGTTTCCACTCATGTAGATCATCATAAGTAACTGTGCTTTGTGTCAGTTTGAATTTATAAATTCTTTACCATGTCTGTTAAGGCTAGATAGAAATTATTAATTTATTGATTTTCTCATATGATATTGTTCTATTTTTTATGTGTTTTTATATCAACAATTTTTGGTCCTTTTCATAATTCTTCTTATGTAACCCCTCAATCAAATTTTTATTCAAAGGTGTTCATGGTGATCTACTTCCTCGTAGTGAACACTGGTAACATGGGAGATGATTTGGGGGGGGGGGGGGGGGTCAATTGTCACTGGAACTCAATCTTAGTTTTTAAAACATTGAAGTTACAATCAGTTAGAAATATATAATATTTCATTAATTAACAAACTATTTATTATTTGTTGTTGACCAGCGGAGATAACGGGGGTATGTGAGCTTTGCTCACTTCTTTCTTGTTTAAACAAATCATATATTTACTTGTTGGTAAATGTATCAAATATTGACAGTATTTGTTTATAATTACACCATTGATTGAAACTTTAAAAAAATATTTTTTACTTTGACAGTGTTTAGCATGATTCCTTCAGTGGCTGACGAAGCTGAAGACAGTACACAGGGATTCATCTTTTGTAAATTATGCTTCACATTCATTGCTTTCTTTGTTTTTGAAGATGTAAATACGCTACATTTAGCCAATTTCAAAAACCTGATACATTTTATGTTAAGATGTAGCTTTGTCATGTCATATTTATTTAACAAGTTACTTTAATGCATGTTGTTATATATTGTTGAAAAACAACATATTTTCACTTACAATCAAAAGATACATATCAGTAAGATCCTGGATATTTTAATGCTGGTAATTTCTCTGTTTTGATAAAATTTGTAATTGATCTGTTGACACTCTTGATCCTTTTCCACCCCCTGCATATGGGCATTTTTCCTTACATATAAAATATATTAATAAATAAAACCATGAATACACTTAAAGGCGATGCACAATTAACCAAAACTCCAATATAAATTATTTTAATGCACTGACAAACTGATATGTTCCAGATTCTTAACAGGATGTGTTTTCCACACAACACACCACACTACAGTGACAGCTTCAAACACAGGAGAAGCTGATTGTGGAACAAGCACAGGTGTAATATAATATAATGTTAATAACAAAGGTAATGAAATGCTAAATTTCTGGGCTATATTAAACATAATCCAAGTATATCTGCCATTATTACATGTGTACAAGCTGAATATCTTTTGTGAGATGTCATTGGTTATAATTATTTTAATATTTATATACATTTCAGAAAAGGTCTCAGTGAGGGTGGATGATATGCAGATCCATCAGAATCAGTATGTATTGGACATTATGAATTTAAAATTGACATATTAATTTTTATTGACATTAATAAAATCAGTTTATTTTCTCACCAAATCTAGTTTATATTATAATAATACACATTTTATTTCCAAGAAAACCTAAAGGCAAGCCATGTTGATGAAAATCCAATGAAAGTTTGGTGTTGATTGGTTTACTATATAGCATTATGATTATCAGTATTATATCCTGATCAGAAATATTCAATAGGATGATATTACTGAACATCTAAATATCATTAATGTAACACAAACTTGTCTGTATTTTTTCAGAAGATATTCTGTGAGAGATCAAAGCATTACCAGCTCAGGGGGAGAGGAAGGTGTCACTCTTGGAGGAAATACTCTCTGAGAAGCTGGGACATCCACACACAGACTGAAACTGGAAACTCATTGTCACCTGTTGTTACCTTAATTTGATTAAAGCCTGTGACTCATGTAACTGTTTCCTTGTGATTATGATTATGATTATGATTATTATTATTTTGTTGTTGTTTATTTGCATTATTATTGGATATAGCATATATGCATTTTTTCCGCATAAATTCTAAAAAAACAATAACATGCAATATTTACAAGTGTTGTCACAAAGTGGTGCCAGTGGAGTTAAAAAAATGCCTCCTTGCAACTTATGGTATGGTAATACTGACATTATATGGTCTCTGAGTAAAAGTATCACTGTTGGTTATGTATGCAACCTCATTTAATACCTTGTGTTGATCTTGATAAGGTTTCTGCATCCCTCCATGTTATGGTTATCAGCAGAAATGCTGTCCACCTTTGGTCCAGTACATCTGGCTCAGGCAACCTCAGTAATATTATCAAAAGGTGCAAACAGGTTGAATAACTAGCATGCTATTGATTTGTGAAGACACCTAAACAGCTGTTATATGCTTACAAAATTTGTATTTATTCATGAATGAAAACATGCCAACAGCATAGGTATTAAGAATTTTAGGAATGAATGAAGAACTGAAATAATAAATTTATGGGGGTACAAATGACACCCAATCATCAATAATCATGCTCATTGGACCAATCACTTCAGCAATATCTGAATTTAAACAAACGTTCCATGAATTTGTTGTTTGTTTGTTTGTTGTAGATATCCTTGTTTTATGGACTGCCTCCGTGGTCTAGTGTTAGACCATCCACCCGGAGAGTGGAAGGTCCGGGGTTCGATCCCCGTCCGCGTCATACCAAAAGACGTTAAAAGATGGTACTTGTTTTTACCCTGTCTGGCATTCAAGATTAAGGGGCTAAAACAAGGACTGGTCGGCTTGGAGTCAGTATACTGTGTATTCATGTATAACTGCGGCATGGTATCTCAGTGTGCTGGCACCATAAATCGGCATCAGCCCGGACTAAGACAAGCAGCCACACACGCACGTGCATGCACGTCACTATATAAGTGCGACCCGTGAAGATTCCGGGGTAGAATAGGTCTTCAGCAACAGATGCTTGCCGTAAAAGGCGACCATGCTTGTAAAAGGCGACTAACGGGATCGGGTGGTCAGGCTCGCTGACTTGGTTGATACATGTCATCAATCCCAATTGCGTGGATCGATGCTCATGATATCAATCACTGGATTGTCTGGTCCAGACTCGATTATTTACAGACCGCCGTCATACAGCTGGAATATTGCTGAGTGCGGCGTTAAACAACAAACCAACCAACCAACAAACCAACCAACCAACAACCAACTATATAAGTGCAATACTCTTGGACGCGACGTTACGCCCCATTTCACCTCACCTCACCTTGTTTACTGAGGGATCTCCCATTTTGAATACTAGTATCTAGGTGTTACTAACATTTGCACAAGGTAGAGGTTGGGCACACAGACTTGGTTAGGCCGAGAGATGGCCGAGCTGACCCATCAAGGAACTGTAGTGTGGTGTACCGAGGGAAGCGATACCTGTCAGTCAGTTTTGTCAAGCTTGAGTTCCTATCCCTTAATATTCGCCCTCGCCTATTGTTTCTCCTGTTCAAAATGTCTACATCCTCAACAGTGTCGCCATGACTTTGAATGTTTTTTTGTTTGTTTGCAAGGTAAAAGTGACCCTAACCTGTCTTAGGTTATGGGGTTGTTTTCGATTGCGTGTTAAGTTAGGAGGTCTTTGTGAAACCGCACAAATATATAAGAGATGGTTTATGACGTGTTTAGGATGTCGGAGGGCAAAGAGAATTTCGGGAAACAGCATCCTGTGTGTTTTGAGTGACGCCATGCCCCGTTTGTTTGAGTGACGCCATGTTCTGTTTGTTTCAGTGATGTCAGGACCTGTACGTTAAAAATTGACAGTAACTGATGACCTCGCCCAGATGAACACTAACCAGTAGAATTACGTTTTCTGTCGAGCGGAGAGATATTCCGAACTGCTTGGGGGAATTCCTCAATGTCTACAAATGACGTCAAATAGGGCCGGTATCATCAAAGACAATTTCTGTTAGTTTGTGCACATTCACCAAAAACGAATGCCATAATTTTAGTTTTTAAATAAATAACGAATTTGAATGCTCTACTTACCAAAGAAATCGCAAAGCTCCAAACAGTCGTGTATGTGCATCGGGAAATTTAACCGCGTCGCCTCGAACGATAATCCCCGTCATCAGCATCTAGCTCTTCTTGCCCGAGTATGACTTGCGCTCGAAAATTACGAAATTCTGAGAGAACCACGGGAATGGATTCTGGGTTCAGTTTAGGTGTACCGAAATGCTGGCCCTGGAGTGCTCACCAAGGTCACAGAACGTTCATATAAATCAATTTTCAGTGTCAACCGGTTCTGGTTCCGTTGTTGGTACGCGACGCAAACTTTCCGTTTTTATCATGATGGAACTTGATTCTTCATCAGCAGTCAACAAATTCCACGTCCATCCTTAAGTTACGCCATATCCTGTTTGCTTCAGTGACGCCATATCCTGTTTTGCTTCAATGACGCCATATCCTGTTTTGTTTCAGTGACGCCATATCCTGTTTGCTTCAGTGACGCCATATCCTGTTTTGTTTCAGTGACGCCATATCCTGTTTGCTTCAGTGACGCCATATCCTGTTTGCTTCAGTGACGCCATATCCTGTTTTGTTTCAGTGACGCAATATCCTGTTTTGTTTCAGTGACGTCATATACTGTTTGCTTCAGTGACGCCATATCCTGTTTGTTTCAGTGACGCCATATCCTGTTTTGTTTCGGTGACGCTATATACTGTTTTGTTTCAGTGACACCATGTCCTATTTGTTCAGTAACGCCATGTCTCGTTTGTTTCAGTGACGCCATGCCCTATCCTTGAAGCATGTACACTGGACTGTGGCCTGTCCGGCTTCAAGAAGGATGCTTCCGGCTGTCACACCTGTGCCTGTGATGACTGAAGTATCTCACTGGTCAGGCCATATTGATAATAAATCATGTAATTTTAATGTTACATATAGAGTGGAACTCCCTCAGTCTGCAAACCCCGTTTTTCGCCTGTATTCGTCCTTCTATACACATAACGTTTCTGTATCACAATTCGTTGATACGGAAATGTTCAATCTAGACGATTTCCCTGGGAAAATATAAACGTCTGGATTATCCAGGTTTCACTGTATTGAACATCCTTTTTAGTGAAAGGACGCTGCCGTTACATAAAAAAATCAGTGAATCGGAACATTTTTTGTTTATCAATTTGAATATTTACATGCAATTCGCCGTTTAAATGTTTGAATGGATGCGTGATATAACGCACTGAACAACATGCAGTATCTAGCGTTTCGTCACCTTTGTACACTTCTTTTCTTATAAGCGCATTTTATTTCTGACAAGAAAGGGAACAGAATGGTCCTAAGGCGAGGGGACGGGCTTTTTAGACATTTCACAAAGATTATAATGTGTTCCAAAAATTAATGGGAAAATGCACTTGATGTATAAAGTAAGTGTTGATAATTAGCATCTTATCTCTGTAATAAACAACAACGATCACTTACTTGATGTGTAAAGTAAGTGTTGATAATGGAGTATCTTACATCTGTAATAAACCGCAACGGCCACTCACTTGATGTATAAAGTAAGTGTTGATAATGAAGTATCTTATATCTGTAATAAACAGCAACGGTCACTCACTTGATATATAAAGTAAGTGTTGATAATGGAGTATCTTATATCTGTAATAAACCGCAACGGTCACTCACTTGATGTATAAAGTAAGTGTTGATAATGAAGTATCTTATATCTGTAATAAACCGCAACGGTCACTCACTCGATGTATAAAGCATTGGTTGATAATGAAGTATCTTATGTCTGTAATAAACAATAACGGTCACTCACTCAATGTATAAAGTATGGGTTGAAAATGAAGTATTTAAAATCAAATACAAAACGCGTTGTTCAAACACGGTTGGAATATCTCCTACATAAAACACACTAAACACATCTGTTTATTGACGACACCAATTATCCCTTGTATAAAAGTACGTTACTGTAAAAAGACAGATAACCTGACTATTCAACAGTGTCTTGACTGTAACTTATGCCAATCAATATCCCGAAGGATCCGGTTTGGACTGTATTAGGAGCTATCGGGTTGCAGTTGGAGTAAATCTCGTAGAGCATTCGCTACAAATGGAGGCTCGAGGGAGATGCGAGACAATATTGTCACACGAGTACATGTTTGTTGGGATTCTGACGGAACTTCTCGCGACAAGTGTCTTTCAGAAGGCCTCGGGGGTATGACCTTGCTCAGCGTGATTGCAAAGAGTCGTCAAAACTGACTTTCAGCTGTGATGTGAAGCACAATAAACTAGACAGAATTGGTAATGAAATACTCTGAACATTGTATGTCCGATTTTTAAACATAATATTCCGTCAAATTTGAGGTAAAAATAGTTTTAAACACACACCGAGAAGCATGACCTGAATATGCTATTAATAAACATTTTTTAAAAACTGGTATCACCAAGGTTCGTAATTGCGTTTGCCACTCAGACAAAACGTGAATTTGAAACTCGATTAAGGGTAGAATATTATGGCCTTGTGGTCTTAGGTGCAGCCGGGCAGAGTTAGTTCAGATGGATATCATTGGAATGAAACCTGCATTCATAACTGTTATCCCGAATACATTTCCATCTTATAAAATCACATCTTAATGGTATTCCACACTATTGATTTTTGCATTATCCACGATTTTCGGATTCTGGCAGGCAAAAGATTCACGATAGTGTTTCTTAATGGCATATGATATTTTCACAACGCTTTTAAATCAACTCCAAATCACCACATTTATCAACAACAAAAGCGATATTATTATGTAAACATGATAAGAGACAAACTTTAGAAAACTTACGTTAATCTCCCTGCGTCTTCTATTTCCTGCGGATCGCTGGTGACATTTCAATGACAAAAAAATAGTTTGTTGGAAATCACTCAACACGTTAATCCATAATCGGAATAGGAGTATAGCATCTTTGTCCCTGGTGACCGAAGCTTACAGTCAGCTTCCAGGTCAGCAGGCGGATTTGTCAGCCTGTAGCGCCGTGAAGGAGTCGGTTGACATAGCGGAAGAAAAATAGCAAAACTCATGACCTAAGCTTAAATGAATATTTGTGAACTGGGACTAGCTCTATTGTGTCAGGTTGTCGTAGCTTTAGCTGTTTATAAATAGCAGTATACAGTATAAATGAACTTTACAACTTACATTTGGGACACCACGTGAAATTGATTTTTGTTTGTTTGTTGTTTAGCGACGCAATCAGAAAAAAATGCAACCATATGACATTTAAAGGCGTGGCCGTGCTACACTTTCTGATGATTAAATTGGTAACCTAACATTCATTAATATCACAGTCTTCTGTTAATCCTAACTTGTCTATCTCGATATTGACAATAAATCATATATAACGTACATCTCACTCATTTCACTCTCACTTTCTCAAACACTCAACCATCCATCCACTCTTTGTCACCACCTCGCTCACCTTCTAACCCAACACACTCACTCACTCACCCACTCAGTAACTCAGTCTTCAACCCAGATATTTTTTACATTAAAACTATAAGCCTGAATACTTTTATTTTAAGAACGGATAATTTCTTTTTGTTGTTGTTGTTGTTGTTCGTGGTGAGAGGGAGAAGTCTGATTCAATTTAGTAATATGGGAATCGATGCCCGACATCGCCATGATACCGACCAAAAGCACCAATTAATACATTACAGAAATGTGTCATCTTTCATCTACAAAGGACCTTTTAACCAAATGAACATATGTTGTCGTTCAAAGGATTCGCTAAACATTAGTTTAAGTCCGTTTTTGATCTCGAAGTTGTTAAGTATTACTTGCTGGATAACATGACACGTTGCGTCGCGTAGGGAGGAATTCAGTGTATTTCATTGAAGTTAGTCCAATACTCCAGGAACCCATTATACATTGTGGGATGCTCTGGTACTATTACACTTGTTGATCTAATGTCGCCTAGTTGGTCGTCTAAAAAAGATTAGACGAATTCCACTCGTGCCCGTCTTCTGTTATTTTAGTACGCCTCTCCGTAGTCTCATGATATACTGAACCGCAAAAGAAACGCCACCATGGATAGATATATGAGAAACCTTACTTGTCCAAACACTGTAAACATACTTTGAGACATATTAAAAAGATGAAACTCGGCAAAACTGATCATCAAGGTTGAAATAAAAGTGTCAAATGTTCTTAAAGTGATACACAACACTAGTCTCTGAGAAAATGGCATCACAAGTCAGTTTCTCGTGTGTCCTCCATGTTCATTGATGACTGCCGTGCAATGTCGATACATGGAATGGATGAGGCGGTTGATTAAGACCATAGGCACTTGAGCCTACACTCTGAGGAACGCCTGACGCAGTTCAGCTGCAGTTGGTCGGACGTCATTCAGCCGCCTTTGAATCTCGTCCCACAGGTGATCAATGGGATTTAAATCGGGACTGAGGGTAGTCCACTGCATGGTTATGATGCCATTCTGCTTGACGAAGTCTCTTGTTGCCCTCACAGTGTGGGCACAGGCGTTATCATTCTGAAACTCGTGGTTGCGGCGACGTGCCAATGAGGTATGGCGTATGGTCTCAAGACTTGATCAATGTACCGAGCTGCTGTGACACCATTGCCTCTCCCTGGACCTATGTTCTGGAAGACCACGGGGCCGACCCTATGTTCAAGACCAATTCCACCCCACGAGTCTCTCTCAACTTCACAAGCATCCGAATAACGTTCCCCACGGCGTCGCCAGACTCTCTCTCTCTGTCTCTCTCTTTCATCTGCTGTTGAGATACAGTAACGGCTCTTGTCTGAGATGAGGACTCTCTCCACTGCTGGTGGCGCCAATGCTGGTGCTGTTTTGCCCACTGAAGACGGCCCCGGCGATGACGTAGTGTCAGAATGGGTCCTCGGTGTGGCCTGTGACAGTGGAGTTGTCTGCTCGTCAATCGTCGACGCTCTGTGTCCGCACTAATGTGTCGCTGGTGTGTCACCATGGTCTGTCGAGCAGTTTCAGCAGCAGTAACAAAGCGATCTTGAAGATGTTGCAGCACAATCTGACGTCGGGTGGTGACCCTTGGTCTTCTACTACGTGGTCGGTCATCTGTAGTGTTGGTGATCTGGTAACGTTGCTGTAGCCTGTATATGGTCCTGACATGGACTTAAAATGCATTGGCGACTTGCCGGGCGGTTTGCCGGGCGGTTTGCCCAGCTTGCAATCGTCCAAGGGCTTGGTGTCGCTGATTTCTTGTCAATCTTGGCATGTGGTAGCAATTCAATTACGAATGAATGTTATCCGATCTGGATGGATTTTTATAGGGCACGAAATGGGGGAACGCATGTGCATTTCAATTTGCACGGAACTCACGTGAATCGGGTTACCATGACCGTTGCCGTGATGCGTTTGGGCGATCGGTTTTATCGTCATCTGCTTTGTTTTTTATCATCAAATTTCATTTTCCCGGACAAGGTAATGTTAAATTTTAGAAACTTTGACGAAAATTACCCAGATATTTAAATGACAATTTTTCATGCAATGTTACTTGGGGTGACGTTTCTTTTGCGGTTCAGTATAGTACAGATTGTGTCATTGCCCATCAACAAGATACGTTACTTGTCGCAAGGTGCAACCCTACTGTGGGGCGGTATCCAATTCATTTAATAAACAGCCAAAAGGCAAAAGCCATGAAAATCTCTTTAACCTTTTACTACAATCTTAGTTGAGACTGTTGATGGCAATAAGACGCTTGTTGGGCTCCCTGTTGTACTGTTAGAGCAGGGACGACGAGAAGATGTTTAAAAATGGCTCAGATGAACAATAATTACGACTTTTCTTAAGTCAGTTTGAAACCTAATGCCCAAGTCTGTCTCACGATCCCTGAACCATATATTTTTTCTTTCGCCCAGCTCTTACTAAAACAAATGTAGATTATGGCAAGGTTCATATGTTCTTGTCTGAATCTCTCACATCGCTTTGGATCCTTTTCAAAAATTAAAATGTAGTTGCTTGTTCCTTTCAAAATTATATATTTTCTGAGACTACCTTATGCCCTGGTAATAAACGAGTGAAAATATAACATACCGTCATAGGTCACTGTCCTGGGAAATGTGAGTCAGTAGAGTACTCAAATTTCTGTACATATAGTGATCTCGGTGTTGCAGAAGATGATTAACATCTGATGTAATATAATGTTATATTATGAGTGTTGCGTGATGTATTTAAACAGTAATATTATGACTATTTCGTAACGAATATATAATCTAACATTATGACTGTTGCGCGATGTGTTTAACTCCAACTTGACGATATATGATATACTATTATGACTGTTACATGATGTATTCACACAGTAATAACGCAACTACCACGTGACGAATATACTACATTACGCAGTGTATTTACACAGTAATATTATAATTAATACTACCATGACACCATGTCACGTGA